AAAGGTTTCTCCCCAACTTCTCTCCCGACTGCCCTTATAGGGTATGCTGTGGCAACTGGTCGAAAGAGTGGCACTGAGTGAAAGCCCCAATGACATATTCACCTAAAATGAACCATACTGCACTCTCTTGTGCTCACTCCTCCCAAGCACCCTCTCCCCTCCTGATCAGACACAAGCCATTGAGAGAAGGACATTTTACATGGAGTGTAATCCCTGGATTCCCTTTGTTCACGTATTAAGTCTTTGCAAGCCCACAGGGATTCCCATGTTGTTTCTGTGCTCCTGTGTGCTCTGCTAGTTTCTTTGACTGCAAAAGGGAGATTTATATCCACAGCTCTCTGAAGATTCCTTTGGCCCACAGCTAGAGTAAACTCTTTATGCCAGCCTTTACCACTAGTGTTCTTCTGCGGCCAAACATGGTCTGATAGAGAATCATGGCTATCAGAGGGAAATATAAATTTTAATACCATTCTACAGCTCAGCCTGTTCTGTAAAAAGAAAGGAAATAGTCCGAATCTCCTATGTGCAGGCCTAAGGACTTCTCAGACCTTGTTAAAAAAACGCAAATTGTGCCAAAAATGTAAATTAGACTCAGCTGTGATTTTCTATTCTAAGTGAGGTTCAATTCTACCTGCCCCCAAAAAGTTCATTAACCAATTGGAGGCTCAACACAGACAGATCAAGATTCATTTCAAAAAGGGATTATATGTTCTCCCAGGGATTACAAATCACATGGTAAAGGTGGGTAATCTGGGGGCTTGCATCTTTTTCATGGCCACCCATGAAAAAGCACACGAGTTATAGACCACACTGGCAAGGCAGCAGTTAAATCCAGAGGTCATGCATGGAAAGTGGAAATTGCTGTCTGCTGGAGGTTCCAGCATTGAGGAGACATCCTGTAGCCAAAGAGACAGTTCCTGGGTGCAAAAACCCATGTCCTATTCTCTTGTTCGTTTTCGTGTTGTTCAGAGGGGAGCCTCAACCTCAAAAGTAATGGGAGATGACATCTCATAATTTTCTGCATCCAAATCTGACCTAATTACCAACTGGAGAAATGGAAAAAAATGGTTAAAAAGCCCTGTGCATGAGGTTTTGCTCAAAACAGCAACTTCCCTTACTTCTTAGCTTCTGCCAGATCTCTCTCCAAAGCTTGCATTTGAAATGTAAATTGCAGAGGCTTACAGGGCTTGCAGAGCTTGCAAGACTTATAAGGCTTGTGGAGAACCAATTGAAGAAAAAAAAGTGTCAGTTTTAAATTCAAGCCACTGTGGGACCTAAATGGCTGGCTCTCTTATCTGCTCTTGCACTCTACCACCCTGCTTTCTTAACAAGTTCCTCCCTAAACACTACAGCACAGGGTGGGAAAAATGGAACGATCTAGTACATACAAGCCTTCTTTACTTTGAAAATCTTTACCTGAGGTTTCAGGACTCTTACATTCTAACTCTAATCTGAAATAAAAAGTGAACCCTGATCTGATAAAAATGTTCTTGTGCTCTTTTACTAGAGTAATTACATCTGTGTCTTTTTAAAGACTTTTTTAAAATTCTTTTTTTTAATTCTATTTTTGAACTCATGGTTTTATAGTGAATTCACATTTGATCCTTTCTGCCTAAGTTAATATATTTTTCTAAGTAGTCTTATTTTATATAACTATAGAGGATTTTATACTTTTTTTGTTCAGAGGCCAATTTTCAAGGGCTAGTTCTTAAATACATTGGAAAATCTCCTTCACAAAATCCTAAGAAGGACATAGACATGGTGATTTGGGGAATAAATCTGATAGTCATCGAGGACAAGTGGCCACCTGAACCTTTGATTTCAATGTCCACCATGGCTGCCAGACTTTAAACCTAGCATTTCCAGTTGTTAAAGTCTGCCTTACATTTAAGTCATAACCTAAAAGTCTGATAGGCTCTATTTTCATTCTTAACAGTTTAAATCTAATAGAGGCTTTAATAAACATCTGTAGCTGTGCCTCCTACTTGTGGATACCTAATTACCAACTGGAGAAGTGGAAAAAAAATCTTTTTTTTTTTTTTTAAATTTATGTGTGCACATTTGTGTATTGTATTGTGTCTGTCTTATTTATGTGTGCACACCTGTGTATTATATTGTGTCTAAGTATGTGCTTAAGTCCTTATATCAAAGTTTGCATATAGATAAATGAGCACTCATAAATCAAAATTTAAAAGAGAAATGGCTCCATATACCTTTTAGTTCACATGACTTAAAAAATTTAAATTAAGTAAGCAGATGAGAATAAAGATGTCTTTGAAATTACTAACTTACAAGTTAAGACAATTAATGGAGTGTTGGTTTCTATAAAATGTCTAGAATGGAATACCCATTACCTATAGGATTTTTCTTCAACAGGGAAGAGATGGCTAATACTGTTAGCTACACTTGTATATCTTGATTTTTATAGTTAAAATGAGAACATTAGATTTAACATCAATGGGATTAATTTTCATAAATGTGTTTGTTAAAGACATCTGATTAATTCACAAAGTTAAAGTGCTAAAACAGCAGCTGCTAAATATAAAATCAGGTACTCTTAACTTCTTAAATTCCATAAGGTAATATATTTAAATATTGTGTGAGATTATTTTTATTTAGAGTCCATTAATCCATTATAACTTTATCTTAACTTAATTACAGCTATAAAGACTATTTCCATATAAAGTCACATTCTGAAGTTCCTGGTAGATGAATTTAGGAGGGGCATGCACCATTATACCCAGCTACAATCCCAAATCTTTACTTCAAACTTTGAGATTGCTTTGTTTCTGACTGCACTAAAAATAAGGTTACTAAGAGTTAAGATTCAATCAGGTGTAATTTCATATACAAAGAATATGAGAGGTTTCAGTTGGGTTTCAATCTGAGTACCATAAAAACAAAATATTTCATCTTGTTAAAGTGGAGTGGTTTGTCTGAATTCAGAAATTTTATAGGGCTTGTTTAGAATATTAATTTTAAAAGGATCAACAGCTATAAAAGAGATATAAAAAGGTTCTAGGTATGAAAATATATGTTAATATGAAAAGGAGAAGGAAAAAGAAATGTTTCTTGGTGAGAAAGTCTTTTGATGGTAAAGTAAAAAAATTGTAGAGAGTCTAAGTAAGTTACAGAAGTTTGGTGAAGGGTAAAATATTTGTACATAACTAAGTTGGTTATATGCAATTAGCACAATTAGTTAGTCATTTAAGGCTTTTTTCTAAGGTCAAATATTAATGTGCTGATATAAATCAAAGTTTAATTTATGTCTTGAAGTAACAAGGATTTCTTAAAAAATTAATCTGCTCTTATCTATCAATATCTTTTTTTTTTTAGTTTGAAATAACCTCCCTAGCTTATTTTAATAAGCCAACCATCATTCACTTACATTTGGAAAGGATATAACATGCATCTAATAGTGATAATACAAAGAGAACATAGATAAATTCCAGGAGAAGGTGACTTTTTACATCCTGAGACTGGAACTCAGAGGTGGGAAGGCTTGGTGGTGGGATTCTTCCCACTATCGCTGTGGATTATAGAAGGCTTCTGGAACAGGAATCAGGAGAGGTGGCCCCTTCTTCTTCCCAATATGAAGCTGTCACTTAAATACCCAGCCCCAAGCACATCTGTTTCCTCTTTCTATTCCTTTTTACCTGTCCACATCTTGCCCATCCTTCAAAGTCCATTTCAGGTCTGTTCTTCCTGACCAATTCCAGGTTCTATGGATCTCTGCTTCCTCAATTTCATGTGTGACCCTCACTGGCACTAAAGACAAACAGTCTTCTTGTGTTGGCTGTTTGAGTTCCCACATGGGACTTCCTCTACAACACTGTTAATGTTTTCAGTTTCCTAAAGAATATGAGTGCTCAAAATGTGTCACAACTAATATATTTTGCACTGGTTTTCAACAAATTAGGGAGCAGATCAAAAGATGTGTGCCATCTGTGGTGTTTCTCAACTAGAGCCAGGGTGGAATCTTTATGTGAAGGAAGAATAGAGATGGAGGTAGGCATAGAGAGAGGAGGAAAGAATATGAGGACAGGAGGAGGAAAATAATACTTAGATTTGTTATGTAATTGCTTATGCCTGGAACTTAATAGAGTGACTAATCCAAAGGCAATGAAAATAATGACAACTCTTTTTGAATGCTGTATAACAGAGAAGAAAGAAACACATGACTTGAATATCTGAATTTGAATTTTGGTCCTACCACTTATTAGCTTCACATCCTTGGACAAGCTACTTATTATTTTTGAATTTTAAGTTCCTCCTTGAAAGAAAAGGAAGGTAATAATAATACTATGTCACAAATACTTAATTTGATAAGAAAATGAGATAATACAAAAATCACTATCTCACAATACCTAACATATGGTATATTATGGTTACTAACCGATCAAATGTTAATGAAAGTAAAACAAAAATTATAAAAGAATGACAGAGGCCATGATACAACATGTCATGACACATTTTGAAGTGGTGGCCAATTGTTCCCCCCCCTCACACGAATATTGGCCCAACTTGCCTAGTCCAAAGCAGGAGTCTTTGAAAATGAAGTTTTATAGTCTTTGAATATGAAGTTTTAACTCACTAAGAAAGCTTCAAAGAACCCTTCTCAGGAGGCTGTGTCTAGAACTTATTTACAAAGTGCCCTATCTTACAAAGCTTAAACAGTCAGCTTTTTTATTTCCAAATGAAGTGTCAAAACTGGTAATCTCATGCATGTAGAGTAACATTTTTATTTTGACTTGTTTTTCAAGAGTATACTTAATACACATTCCACCTTCTAAAACTACTAATCTAGGTGATGATGGGTAACAATTCATTCTATGTATCAAATTCCAAAAATGAGCATTGTTCTGTGAAACTAAGAAAGTTTCTGAAACATTCCCTTAGTCATTCAAGTATTCAAATTCAAAATTTATTCTAAAGAGTCATCATTATGATTTACACAAAGGCAGGTGCAATGGCATTCAACAGCATTGACAAAGAGAAGTAGCTTGAAGGTTACTTGATAGTTGAAAATGTTGCCCCAAAACATGAAGCGGAAACTTCCAAAAGGAGCTAGTTTTTTAGGTCCAAACTTCTAAAATACCTGATTACTCTAAACATCCAAAGGAAGTTTCCTCTGTGATACAAGAATGTCACTGTTCTTTTTCTTGTCCTCATCGCTAAGTGTGGTATTTTTGGCCAACTCCATAAGGTACATGAGCTGTGATGGTGCCTAATTTCTTTGCCCCTTGAATGAGGAACATCCGGTCATCAAAGAAGATATGGGGCCGGATCTTCACCAAGATGGGACCTTTAGGGGCTCCCGCAAGAAAAAGAGCTTCGTCTATCTCTAGACCCCAGCGGCGAAGAGTCTTCAGCATCCGGGCACCTGAGCTGGCTGCGCTTCGGGCTGTAACCAGGTAGGTCCTGATAGGACAAAGTAACCGTTCATCTTTGGCATAAAACTTCTTTTGTAGTCTGCCTAAATCTTCCAGAAAGCCTTTCAAGGGACCCTGAACAAGGGGCTTATTCTCAGATAGTGTTTCGTGTTGAAAGAATTTGTCCCGTCTGTGCTCTTTGGCAGTTTGTTCAGACTCACCAGAGAAGAAGACGGCATCCCCATCAAAGGCCACACGGAGCTGTATGTCACAGTAAGGCATATCTTTGGCTCCATCAAACATTGTTGCAGAGGCAATACCTTCTTGTATGGCTTCTTGGACTTTTTCAAAATCCGCAGAAAGATACAAGTTGGTAAGATATGCCTTCAAATAGCCAATGGGACTTTTTCCACCAGTGAAACAGAAGCAGTCAATTAGTAGGCCATAGTGATTGACGCTGTTTATAAGCCGCACTCCCACTTGGGCATGGTTATTAGTCATCAGTACAATATCGAATAATTCCTGATCATGAGGATACAGATCTCGGAGTCTAGCATTGACATGCTGCAGGGCCTTGACAAAGCGGAACGCGGGCCCGGGCGTCAGGATGACGTTCTCATTGGTGAGCTGATATTCCATGTACTTTTCCAGACCTTCTTCCTCATAGATTCTCCTGTCATCCATCATGTTGAAGAGTGCCCGAGATGACACAGCAATGGTGATGGCTTTCTTGGGTCTGGGCTCGTCTTCCTCCTGCAGCTTCTGCTGTTGCATTTCTGACATGCAGTCGAGATCCATCTGGATGGAGGTAGGGTAGGGCATGCGATGCTGGGGATAGACCTTCCACTCCGTGGGAGTCGTGCGCGAATATTCCCGCGGCTGCCCGTGCGAGGCTCGGGATTCGCAGCTGTGCGCGTCCGGCGACAGTGAGCTCCGGTTCTCGCGGACATCACGCCCAAGGCTTTCAGCCCAGGTTTCGGGAGGCTCATACTTCTTGCGCCGGTTGCTGGACTCTGTTTCGGGGGGCGTGGGAGGCTGCGATTCCAGAGACATATCTGACTCTGGCTGCGTTTTGGGCATTGGTGAAGAGGGTTCTGGCCAAGCCTGTGGTGGTGGAGAGTCCTCCTGGCTGGGGGAAGTAGATGAAGTTCGGGAGGTTGTGGGAGCTGTTTTGGAGCTTAAGACTGGGGTTCCTTCTTCTTGACTCGCCTACTGATAGAGGCTTGTTGGATGGGCTCCGAGATGTCCTAGACCACTGATTTTATACAACACTTGCTCGAGAGTCTGGCTTCCGCAACGTTTCTTGGGATCCCCTCATCATGATGATCTTCCGCCCTGCTCCCACAGCAGGCACACGTGAATATAAATACGTATTGTGCGGCAGGGGCTAGTTCCCTCAACTGCACAAAGGCAGCGTCTACACGACGGGTGACCCCGCATGGGGCAACATCTCAGCGCGTGATTCAGACAGACTTCATGCCTCACCTGACTGCTTAGCCGAACTCCTGACTTTTCAGTTTCCTTTCATTTTTCTCCTTCTAGACTCTCTTTTGATTGCCTCATCCCATTCTCATTCTTTAAATCTGGGCCTGCTTTGTGATTGGTTCAAGCAGAACAATCCTGGGGAAGTACCATTCTGTGCCTTCTAGAACCCAGAGCTCTGAAGGCTTGCAGAGACTGTCATTATCGTTCTGGAACACTGCTACCCTGAGGGTGGGTTGAAAACTTCATAGCTTTGACACTTAACGATAATTTGTCTTTGAGCCACAATTCTTCGTTTTCAGTCTTCTACGTTCGTCACAATAATAAGTCAATCTGGCATCCATGCCACATCCGTGGCTGCACCTGGGAGCTCAGTGTGTTCAGGAGGACATGTCTCACAGAAGCTGTCTGCCCTGATGCTTCCTCCATCCAGAATTCCCAGGTGGTGTGCTCACCTCCTTGAGACTAGCAATATTTTGTTGAGAAAAGAAATAGCTTCGTAGATAGTCTGGGCTTTAAGAATTAGTGCTACCTCTTCTTACGTGTCTCTGCAAGATGCATAACCTCGCGTGCTGTAACCTTATTGGTTAAAAAAGGAATGATAATAACAGCAGCTTCGGCGGGTGCTAGGCGCAGGCGGGAAGGAGGAGCCGCGCCGGTGCTCTGAGCCAAGATAATGTCTTGTGTCTTAAATTTTATTCTTTAGAGCAACTTGCCTTAAGGGAACTTAGGGTTTGAACAACTCTGGTTAAACAACAATAATGTTACACTACATTACAGAGTCTGCTATTTTAGAGTATTACACTTCTTTATAGAGTCTGATTTTTTCTTTAAAAGCTAAAGTTTGTTAATATAAAAACATCAGTGTAATTGTGGTACTGTTACTGGCTTCTTTGTGTATTAGATATTTCATATCTTCTGAGTACGCAAGTCTTTAAAGTATAAGGTTTAGAAGAACATTTTACCAAGTTGCTGTTCTTCAAACTAAAGTTTGAAGTAAAGATTTGGGATTGTAGCTGGGTTCAGTGGTGCATGCCCCTCCTAAATTCATCCACCTGGAACATTAGAATATGACCTTATTTGGAAATAGTCTTTACAGCTGTAATTAAGTTAAGATGAAGTTATAATGGATTAATGGACTCTAAATCCAATGACTGGTGTCCTTGGAAGAGAGGAGGACACATGTTATTATAAAGAGGGCCACGTAAAGATGAGCCACAGATGGAGTGATGGGGCCACAAGCCAAGGAGCACCAGAAGCTGCACTAGGAAAGGAAAGATTTTCCCCTGGAGCCTGGGAGGAAATGGTAGCCTCCGGCACCTTGATTCAGACTCTGTGTTGACTTCACAGAGTGGCCCTTCAGGTGTGACACAGTAAGAAAAAGTAGTTTTAAGCATAAAGAGCATTTTCGAGCATCCACTACATGCCAGACATTTTGCTAAGAATACTTATACTCACACCCACACACCTACATTTATATATGAATACATATGTGCATACACATATTCATCCATTATGCATATGTCTATATACATATATTATTATTTTAAAATTATGGTAAAATACATGTACATGAAATTTACCATCTTAACCATTAATTGTATAGTTCAGTAGTACTAAGTCCATTCACACTGTTATGCAACCATTACCACCATCTTAGAACATTTTTCATCTTGCAAAACAAATTTTGAGTCTCTGAAACAATAACTCCTCATTCCTTCCTCCCTCTAGCCCTTGGCAACCAGTAATCTGCCTCTACGATTTTGACTGCTCCAAATACCTCATATAAATGTATAAATGAAATCATACAGTATTTGTACTTTCTGTGACTGAAATATATGTGCATGTGTGTGCATATATATATATATATATATATATATATATATTCAGGTGCACATAGATATGCATAACACACACATATAAAACTTAAAAAATTTCAATTCAATCTTGCAATGAGGATATTATGTTCACCTAATTGATGAGCTGCTTGGGGCCAGGGGAGGTGGTGTGTAGGTAACATGATGCCTGCCATGGCTGCCTGGCACCATTGGTAGGCATGGTCTTCATTTTCATGCCCTCACAAGAGCATAGAAGAATTCTCCCAGGGTATGGGTTCAGTGGAGTAACACTATATAGCCCATTCCGACCCATTTTAACCAGCCAGACTTGCAAGGACTCACCTCATTGTCTCGGTCTTTCTCCAGGAAATGGCGGGCCACGTGACTGGGTAAGATATTCCGGAGCATGTTCTCATTGTGTTCCCTCAGCTCCTTCATCTCGTTGATCTCCTCTTTGGCCTGTACGCGCCAGAGGAAGTCCAGGCGAGCTGTGTATTCCAGCTGCAGTTCATGGGAGACAAAGAGAGGCAGCTGAGGAACTTGTGGAGTATGGGCTCCAGCCACACATATCTGGAGGTGGGCCAGGATCTAGCAATTTTCAGAAAGGAAACAGCCTGACCTAAGTGATGGGAGGCATTGTCTGCCCCCAAGCCATCAGAGAATGATTAGGTCCCTCGGACTGTGCGCCTACCTCCCAGTATCATTGCACCTGTGTTTTTATACTCATTTGTGGGATTTTATGACTATATCTGAGTCCTCTCTTAGACCACAGGTGCTGTGCAGTCAGGGTCCTGTCACCTGTTCACTTGTCACATCCTTACTGCTGGGGACTGAATGATTGTGCCCTCCCCCTCTTCCTATGGATGCTCTGACTCAGGAGGTAATGATATTTGGAGATGGAACTTTTGGGAAGTGAGTAGGGCTAGATGAGGTCATGAGGATGGGCCCTTGTGATGGAGTTACTGCCTGTACTGGAAGGGACGTGACAGAGTCTGCTTTTCTCTCTCCATGAGCACCCATTAAGACAGGACCATGGGACAACACAGCAAGAAGGTGGTCATCTGCAAGCCAGAAAGAGCCTTCACCAGGAACCAAAATCTGCTGGACCAGGATCTTAGACTTTACAGCTTCCAGAGCTATGAGAAGCAAATTTCTGCTAGGTCTACCCTTCTGAGGTACTGGTTGGGGCAGCCTGAGCTGACTGGCAGCCTGACATGTCCGGCACAGAGCACGTGCTCTATCCTATTGGTTAGTTTGGTTTGACAAATATGTTAGAATCCTAAAACTAACCAGTGCTTGAGTGGAACTTATTATGTCTCTGCCTTTTTTTCTAAGCAATATTGAAACAGTAGGTCCTTTAATCCAAGCAGCAACCCCAATAGTATGATATTATTTTCAATCCTTCTTTGTCAGATGAAAAAATCAAGCTAACATAGTTAGGTAACTTGATAAGTTCACACCCAGTTAGTGGAGAAGCCAGAATTTGAACTTAATTCCAAAACTGGGCAAAGAGTGGGTTCTTGATCACTAAACAATAAGGAAGAAATGAATGAACTATATAGTAAGATAATCATGGATTGGTGTCAGACAGATATGGCATAGAGCTCTGGTTCCACATTTGCCACTATAACCCAAGACAAGTAGTGACTTTTCTGTTTCCTCATCTATGAACTTGAGATGCTGTTGATGAACCACCTGGGGGTTTATGTGAATTACTTAGGAAGTTAAAGGTAAACAACTTACTCTCGGCACTCTTAGTTAGTTCTGTCCCATCCTGTTCTGGTTTCCCTGTGCATAAGAATTTCCTTTACAGAGCAACACTCAAGCCATTTTTATCACAACTTAGGGATGTATTATTTCAAAATCTTTAACCATTAAAATTAACAGTCTACTACATGTAGTTAGATGTCCTAAATTGAAGGGCTTATGACTAGTTGCTTTGCTATGTCTTACTTTAGAATCCTAGAAGATAACAACAGTATAAAAGACAGGCACAGGTTATTTATTCAATAATAGCAGAAGCTGAAACAATCCAAATGTTCATTTTGTTGACTGAACAAACCATAGCACATATATACAACAGGACACAGTGCAGCTATAAATAGGAAGAGTGATTCTCTATACTTTGATGAGCTGTTCTCTAAGGGAGAAATGCATGTATCACTTGTCTAAAAAAGGAAAGTTTCTCTCTTTCTCTCTCCTCTTACACTCACATTAATCCATCTTAATTTGTTTACTGAAAAACTAAAGTGAAAACCATAAAAAGCTGTTATCTACTAGATGAGAGAGGGAACAGGAAACAGAATGGAGGAATAAAGCTAGAATCCAAACTTAAAATTCTGTCTTGTTTTGAGTCAACTTTAGAATCATGGAAAATTTTTTACTTAATTATAAAACTAAATAGATTTTAAAAGTGTCTATAAAAGTAAACAAGTAAATAATGAACCTTCATCTCTAACCCATGGAGAGAAAATACGTATGCCTGATGTCTTTTTAAACAATAATTTGATGGCCCATTCCTAGATGAAAATACCCTAAGGATAAAAGGAATTCCAATAAAATGTTAAAACTTGTTACAATAATCGTATTGTAGGTGGTAATATTTGCATTAGTATTCTTAGACTATTGTACAGTAAAGCAAATGGGCAATTGTGTTGTTGTCATTGAAAACTGGAATTCTGGGGAAGAGGAAATAGCTGCAGATGTAAATCTGGTGATATTAAAAAAGACGCAGGTCCTCAATAAGAAAACAAGGACCACTGTGAACTTGAGGTGTGCATTTCCTAGCTCCTCCCACTGAAATCAAGGCCCAGAGAATGGAAACCTAGCAGCAACAATGGGCACCCAGAGCTTCCAGACTGTGATTTCTTAATATTGGTTTCTATAAATATAATCCTTACTGTTTCCAGAAGTGGTTCAGTTTTAGGACAGAAAATTTAAAAATCTAGATTATTTTTTTTCATGCCATAAACAAGGAATCTCTCTGAGACTACTAACTCCAGTAGTAAAACGGATCTAAAAGCCAGCTTGCATAGGCTTCCAGTTGTCAAAGACGTGAGAAATTAGGCTTTACTAAGAATAATAATTGCAATGGATGGGAACACCAGAAATACACTAAAATGCATAAATTCAGAGTGGCACTTAAAAAGACAAAATCTCATCCGTCGCTTCTGAATGGTGCTAGGGAACAAATTTATCAGGGAACTCATAGGAACCAAACTCATAGGTAAAGAATTCAGCATTTATCATCGCTTCCTGACTTGTATTTCCAGGTAAGAGTTGGTGAGGAGATGGTTCTTTTAAATAATGTATTCCAGCTAATAAATTATGGACTACTGATAGGATTAGAATGTCACTATCTAGTGAACAGATGAATACAGGCTATTACCAGCAGCTGCTAATATCACAAAAAGAGAGACAAGGAGACATTATCCATCTTCTAATTATAGTTAAATATTTTTGCAGGAAAAAATTGAAACCAAATCTCATCAAGTTTCTAGATATAACAACTAATTCAAGATAAACCTATGAGAGAGGAAAGTGTTAAATAACTTTAGGGGATGCACTGGACAAACTCTGAACTAGGAGGACTTCCACATGCCCACTGGCCCTCACAGAATACTGCAAAAAAAAAAAAATGATGGAGGTTGATCCTGCAGATTTAAAAGATGTATCAGCCAATGGCAATACACAGACTTTATCTGGATTTCCATTCCAATAAACAAACTTAAAAGATACAATTATAAGTTAACCAAGAAATGGAAACATGGCTTAGAGATTTGACAATATAAATGAATTGTGGTTTTCTTTTTACAAGTGTATTCTTTTAATTGTGATCAGGTTAAA